TCCATAACTTCGGTTTTTCATGATTTTTTGCAATTTTTTTCGGTTTTTCGCTGATTTTTCAAATTTTGATGGCTCAACGGGCTAATTAACCTTCAGATTAAATTCAGCGGATCGAAATACATAAAAATCATACTTGATCCGGGTCAATAAAAATTTTTTCACCGCTGTAATTGCAGTTTTTCATATTTTTGGGGGGTTTTTTGCATTTTACTAAAATCTGGGACCTGACCGAGCCCAACGGACCTCAAATTCGGATTCAGCGGGTCGAAAAACATGTCCGTAGATGGGTCCGGTCAAATGCACAAATCACTTTTTTTTTGTGTGCCGGTGTAATTTATTAATTTAAAAGATGATATTATTTACTTGTACACAAACTTCATTTAATGTATTTACCTTGTATCTTTGTATAACTTTTTATTATTCCTGTGAATAAAATATTAAAATTAATAATAAAAAAACTGCACAACGATACACTTATTTATTTTGTTTTTAATAAAGGATTTACTATTTTTTGTCATCATCGGATTTTCTTTTTCTTGGAAGAAACACTGCTTTTGCAAGATCTTCATCTGAGATGGTACCTGGTATAATTTTGATATCTGATACGTTCTCAATGAGCAAGAAATTTGGCATTCTGTCAGTCTTAAGAAAGCCAGATATTTGAAGTTTTGTTTTTACTTGAAATTTATCAAGAATTTTGCGATCTTTACATCGTACTTCAAATCTAATTTTTCCAAATCCTACTGATGAAATGAATATAGTTTCACGAAATGTATCCTCAGTAAAATTATATTTTAAAAATGCTTCCAAAGTCACTACAATAATTTAGAATAAAATTGTAAGTCGGAGTACAAAATATTTTATACTAAATTATTTATTTTTGGCAATATGTAAAAGATATGTAAACAAAAAGTATAAAATAAATTATAAGTCTAAAAAAATAAAAAATAAATTTTAAAAATAAAGGTAGATCGAAAATAGAAGACAATAATAGAAACTTTAAAAAAAATTTTATAAAATAATATTAAACTTTCACTTTTATTTATATATATTGTGACGTGACGTCCCTTTTTGGACCGTCCGTCACAAGGAATCTACGGACTCGACCGCGGGCGGTGGTTCTGAGTCCTGCGTCCTTCCGATTTTCGGAGGCGGACGCGTGGCGCGGGCCGCGGGACTACATTTGCGTGGCTCCTGCCGCCCAAATACCGAATACCGTTCATAATCACTTTTTTTAGTTTCCGTAGCGATCTCGATTGTTTAGTATCTCGTATCAGCGGCTCCCGGGAGATTTTGTAGAATTTCACCCGTCTCACCGACGTCGCAACAACCACGAGAAGAGGACCACGAGGGCAGAGAAGGCACCACTGAGGAAGCAATACACAGGTCGTATTTTAGTCCGCGTTCCTTTCCGTACTTTGAGAGCAATTAAGCTGCCGAGCTTCCTTACAGATTCCGGTGCGAGCCAGCTAAGGCGAGAATACAGGGGATGGCCACTCTACGCCCTAGATCGGGCGAGAGACCCCGCAGTCGGAATCGAGCCAGGGCGCCCCAAGGATGAGATCTGCCGCCAGGAACAGCTCCTCACGAGAATGAGTCCCGTAGGACCAGCCACCTGAGCGTGCCAACACGGGAGCGCACCTGGAGGTACCGCCGACAGAAAGACGTCGCCGATAGTTCAAATGTCGCGCGCGGGGACACAGGACCCGCGGCGCTACGCACCCCACGCGATTCGTGGAGATCGCGAGCTCGCACGCCCACCAATTAGGGGCGCGTACGGATGTACCACGTGGGCCCACCGGCCCGGCGAGATCACGGAAGCAGCGGCACTCGGCACCAGTGTTGCCAGATCGTGGATTTTCTCCCTAGATTTAGGGTTATTTTGACGACTTGGGGAGAAATTTAGGGAGACAAAATATTTAGGGATAATGTTTAGGGTATTTTCCGTTCACCGTGAAAAAATGAAAATACCAATAGAAGAAGGAAAGAAAGTAAGGGATAGAAACAGAA